TCACTTGGTTCCTTAAATTAACAATGTGTTCACCTTCATTTTTGTATCAGCTCCTCCAGATCCATGTGATTTAATTCTCAACTTAAAAAGTAAATTTACTCAAAAGCCCTGTATCTGCATAGGGTAAAGTGTTACTTAATGGGTGAGAGTAGAACTTGCATTCACACAAGCCATAGAGTTCAGCCAAAACACTGACAGCAAGTGGAATGCTTCTTAGAAATTCATTGTCCACCACATAAATACTTCAGAGCAAGCAAACCTGGCACTGAGGTGATGGGAAGTGGTCATAAATAACCTTATAGCTTGGGCTAGGAATCTACTCCACTAATGTTGTTTTCCAATAGCACCTTGTGGCAAATGCTTTGGAGAACACCATTAGAAGGCAAAGGAAGAGAAGATTTATCATTTCCTTGCTATTGGTACTCAGCTCATCAGAAGCCAAGACACACAAAATTCTGCCCTCCCTAATGCAAATAGTGAATATTTTGCAAGAACAAAATGCTGCTTGGAGGTTTGGGGTTTTTTGTGAGAAGCCAAGAACTCTGCCTCTGACCCTACCAAGCTTTTCAGCAGGTGCTTAGAGGTAAACTAAGGTAGAATTTAGAGAGACATTAACACTCTTCCTGTACAAGATCAGTTTGCTACCTATTGCATCGATGTTAAAACACCCCACACAAATTCCAATGCCATTTCAACAGCTGTCCAGTGCAACTGCAAGTGGTTCAGTTCAGAGCTGCATTACACAAAAATGTTTTCAAAAATTTTTTTACACAAAAAAATGGTTTTCCATTAAGGGAAAAATAAGATATTTTTATCTACTAAGTCACAGTATATAAAATTTGCATTTTACCTTTTAAATTGTTGATAAAGTGGTTTTTGGGGTTTTTTGTTTGGTTTTTTTGTGATTTTACTTGGTATTTTCCTGGATGCTCCTTTTCTGTGCATCTCACTATTCAAACAATTCAAAGAAAGCAATTTACTCAATAGGGTTTGTGAAAGTACCCAAATTTCATGATGCTTAAAATTCCTATTTGCATTTCAGAATCATCTGGGAAACCAATACAGGCTCAGAAACAGAGCAGCTTGTTTCAGCTTTAAAATAATTTCAGATTTTTTTTTTTTTAACAATTGTTTTCTAGTAGCAAGAAATGCAAAACAAACCGTAATTAAGCTATTTATATTCCCCATTCATAGACCATTTCCTCAAAATAGCCTAAGCTCTTGGAACAGAAAAATTATGAATAGGAATAAAAATAACAGTCTCCATGAGTCATGCAGCTGAGCTGCTGAACATCCAATATTCAGCATATTCTTAATAGTAGATTTAGAATGAACTGAAATGAGTCTCTCAGCTGGATGCTCAGAGCCTGTGTCCATTCCTGCAGTCAAACCCAAGCCTCCAGCCTATTACTCTTCCAGATCCCAAGAGGATACCATATTGCACTGGTCTCTTTATTTTTACTTGTAAATTTCTAGGGAAAGAGCCTACCTTTAAGTAATTTTCTGAAGCATGGCATGTTTTCTTAGGGACGCTTTTGTCATTTCTTTGGTCTTTCTCCTTTTCTATGACGACTGTATTCCTTGCTATTGGACCTGTTGGTTGCCCTCAATCCAAAATAGCTCTGACAAGAGTATCACTTCCTGTCTGTGTGCGAGGAATACATATCACTTTACACATTCAAAAAAGGCCAGAACCACTGGTAAAAAGGGTAGTAAAGGCTTGAGACCCATATAGCCTAACAGAATAAAGAACTAGCATTACTACTTACTTTTTTCTCTTTTTTTCCTGAAAAGGTAAGTTGAAATAATTCACTGGTTTGACGATATGGTTCAGATGTTGCTGAAAAATAAGTGGGTTTTTTTTGTCTACTCCCCATCTTAGCAATACAAAAGCTTTTTTATGTCTTCAACATATGGACTGCCATGGCAAAGAAAAAAGCAGGTCTCTGCAGACTATGGGCTACAGTAAACAAAGATGGAGAATTAGATGCCCAGTAAATAATAAGGCACAGATAAGACTTGACCAAAAGTTTGGAAGGCAAAAGAGGCAGAAAAATCCACTGGTTTAACAAAAAACCTTCCTAGAGATAAATTAAATTCTTAGTGATTAAGGCAGCAAAACTCAGAACATTAGCATGAAAGAAAGGTGAGATACAAATGAAGAAATTAAGTTGGATATTTCCTTAGAAGTTATAGTGTCTGTATTGCCTTGTTTCAGCTGGAGGGCCCATTTCATATAAGTAACAGGTTATTCACTGCAACCTTTTCTTCTTTACATATTTTAAGCAGCTTTACAGATTATATGACTGCATGCATATATGCATGTGCATTTCACACTAAGCTACCACAGCCAGGATGAACTGGAATGTAGTACAGTACTCTCTAAAATATTTATATTTTCATATCCAGTTTCAAATGAAAATGAACCATCTACAACTACAAAAGAGATTTTAAAAAACTAGAGCTATCTTAAATAATATTTTATGAAAGAAGCAGGAGTTGACAGCAACCCTTCCATGGGACATCAAAACCTGTCAGTGATCACTAGTGATTGCAGAAAACTTTGGTTTTGTAATGCCACAAACAAGTGTTTCCACTCAGACATACTCAAAATGTTATTCAGCAATGATAGGTCTGCTCTTTGTGCTCCAGACCTCACATTTTGATGCATGTATTAGCAATTTCGTAAGATGCAATCAATCACTGCACAATCTGGCTGTATCTACATCTGAACTCTGAAAGATGCTTACCCTTCCAACATCACATACAGAAAGAAGTCTTTAGCTCACTTAAATCTTGTGTCCTGCTTCTGAACTCTGGCTTCCCTATAACATGGTATCACCACTCCAAACCAGAGTCTTGGTCCTCATCACAGCCAAGGAGGAAGAAAATGGAAACAAACAAATCTAAAGACACCGACCTTGAAATCAAACTCACGTAAAACCAGTGCATTAGGTCCAGCTTAAGTAAAAGCATTGCACTGAGCATACACAGAAAAACACACAAAAATCAATGGAGAATAGATTCGGTGTATGACAAAGGGCATGCATGTATACATATATATCCCATATACATATGTATAAACACTTGTATATATATATATGTATGCATGTGTATGTATATATATATATATATAGATATATATATATATATATATATATATATATGTAATTGGACCTGACAATCCTTATGGGTCCCTTCAAGTTGAAATATTTTATGAAACTTTCCTCCTTTAAAAAATCTTTATTATAGAATATTAAACAGAATTCAGCTACACTCAAGGTTTATACAGTTGCAAAATTAAGGTAAGAATGTAACTATGGGTAATGTGCCCATCATTAGCTTTTGTCCTTTTAGAATTACATTTTTTTTAGTATACAAGGAAAAGTATCTGGTGTATGTTCAGCCTTTTTCTCTATAAAGTTTGCTAAAACTTTGTTTGCTGCTTTGCAGTCTTACTGTTAGAAATCAAGAAGAAGAGAGAGCAAGGAGAACATCTCATGAACTCCAAGCAGAGGGTATTCCAAACTGTGAGGAAAGGTATGGTCTTTATTAAGTGTTCTGTCAAGCTAAAATGAAACAAACCCAACAAACCATACTAAGTAATTGCAATCATTTACATGAAATATGAAAAGAACTATTATCTACTTGTCATTTACACTCAATTTGCAAGTCATCTGGTTTTTACCTCCTAATGAACCAAAGGTCTGATCTATAATATTTTACATTATTTATATGCAGCACATCCCCACTCTCATGACAAATTAAAACCAGCATTTTAAACTGTCTTCCTTTTTCCTGGAATAATTTAAAAATACATCCGGCTTCCACCCAGCACGTATGCAGTGAGCTTAACCAGCAGTGCTCAGCCTTACAAAAACAATAAAGCAGAGCTTAGATCCTCCCAAGTCAGGCAACAGTTTCTTCAGAAATGCTCAAACAGGTAAAAGCACCTGCAAAATGGTAACATAGAGGTGGGTACCTTTCAGAGTGTTTAAATCATTGCTTTTTTATATGTATTTTCATTCAATTTTTAACCACAATTTAACAAGGAATATTAGGGATAGGAAAAATATCTAGCTGTTGCACAGGTACTTCTTTGTTGCAATTACTCTGAGCAGTAATCTGCAATTTCTGCATCAAAGCATAGACAATCACCTGCATCAGAGCTTTTGACAGCCACACTTTCAAAAAACATCTCATAAATATGTTTACAAGAGTTTGCACTTGGGTTGTTCCAGTAAGGAATCAGAACCCCACGAACTTAACAATTTTGTTCTATTGTGATGGCAGATGCCTCCTGCCAGTTGCAAACAGCTTGAGTAACAACCATTCATTTCTCTCTTCTTTTGCTCTTCTTCCTCCTTAAGCCCTGCTCCCACTCTTGAAGAAGTAAATGCCTGGGCTCAATCATTTGACAAGTTGATGCTTACTCCAGCTGGCAGAAATGCTTTTCGTGAATTTCTACGAACAGAATTCAGCGAGGAAAACATGCTTTTCTGGATGGCCTGCGAGGAACTAAAACAAGAATCCAACAAAAGTGTCATTGAAGAAAAAGCAAGACTAATTTATGAAGATTATATTTCTATCCTTTCTCCAAAAGAGGTATATTGCTTTCCCTAATACATTCTTTGATGCTTCTTTGCATAGTTAGCTCTAACGTGTTTAAAGCTACAGCAATACTAACGGAGAAGTTCTTCTCCCCCACCATCATTCCACTACCATCAAGTAGATATTTAGGGGAAGAAGGCACCCATCGTTGAGGTGAGATGATCAAAACTACTTTCCTTACTTTGTAAGGAAGCTCTTCCTATGCTACACTTGCTGATGTGGAATATTTAGTCTGAGGCACAATATATGGCTGATCATGTTATCCTTGCGCAACTCAAATTTTAGTTGTTGGACAAATCAGTTCCTTTTTTTGTTACACTCAGAAGGGGGTGTATGCGTCTCTCCAGAAACACAGTAACCACAAATAAAGTGTTATTTTTAAAGCATGAATTTCTCAAAGAGCAGCTGACAATATATGGCGTAGAATAAACACAGTGACTTCCCCAAAATTTTCAAAACTACTTGTCACTTTGCTGTTAGCAAATATGTCAAGTTTCAAAGACACCTCAGTACAGTCTGAATATAATCCTGCCAGGCAGGCTGGAATTTTAAACCTTCCAACATCCTTGCAAAATTGCAATTTAATTTTTTTTGGTGCCAGCTACATTTATGCACTTATAAAAATGCTGCTTAAATCTACCCAGTCTGTTCCTGCAATACTAATATCTGTATACAGACACTAGACACTCGCAGAAAAAAAAAATGACATCACTGAATGTTGTATGGAATCATTATATAGCCCTACCTGTGGTTCACATCAATTCATTCTGATTTTAAGAGCAATTTGATTAAGCAACAGCTTCCCAGGTTACATTGTCCGCCTGCGTCATACTCTTACTCCAAACTCAGTCTCTTTACAACAGCACTAGGCTCTCCAGGAAATGCACTGTCACCAAAAATTACAAATGCTCTCTTCTAGAGAGCAGGAAGTTAGTCTGGAAATAACCCATTAGTCTCAGTAATAATGGGCCTGCAGACAGACTTGTTCAAATAAGGTACCTCAGTGAGGACATTTCTCTACCCATACTCAAGTTATTACTCCATTCCAATTTTAACAGAATCATTTTTTGCTTATTTAGCAATTTTTACAGTCTTGGAGGACATCAGCTGAAATGCTTAAAAAAGATGGCTTTTTCAACCAATAATAAAAAATTAAGACCCCCCCACCTGTACTGTTCACCACTATTATTTAATTATTTACATGACTTTCTATTTTAATATGCAGGTCAGTCTGGACTCCAGAGTAAGAGAAGTTATTAACCGAAATATGCTGGAACCTTCACAACACACCTTTGATGATGCACAGCTCCAAATTTATACCTTAATGCACAGAGACTCTTACCCACGGTTTATGAACTCTGCTATTTATAAGGACTTGCTTCAGTCCTTGTCTGAAAAATCCATCGAAGCATAGAATTTTTTCTTATATGTATTTATTTTAAAAAAGACAGGACTCTGGGCTACAGAAATCCACAGGGAATTTAGAATTAAGCAGATATTTACCTGAAAATAACTCAGGCAAATTTTACTACAGACTATATAATTTAAATCTGCACAAAGCTCTGACACAATCAGCTAAGTACAGTTTCTGATTAAATTCAGTATTACTTTTCAAAAGGAAATGAAGAGAATGAAGAAGAAACATTGTTCAAAAAATGCAGTATTTTTTCAAACACATCAGACAATTTAGTCACAAAGCTATTACAACTTATATCTGAGGTACAAATACCAACTGTGCATGAAACTAAAACTGATTTTTGAGTGTTAGAATTTTCTTGAAAACCAAACCAGTTGCCCCATCCACACTGTGACCAAAGTAAAAATATTACTGTTAGTGCTGTGTTACTCTAGGCAGTGCCATCACACCTGGCATAGGTACATTCCACTTATTTTGTTTCCACATATATGTAGTAATGCATATATGGTGCACTAATGGAAATTGGCATGCAATCTCAAGTTTATGGAAGTTTCTGGTTGAAATAATGCTGCTTATAAAAAAAAAATCCTTTGCTGAAGAATTATTATTTTAGCATTAGAATCTGCTGAAAGCATTAAGTTCCCTTTGTTGATGTTCATAAAGTTAAATTATTTATTTCAGAGGAAGACAAGCCTGGGCATTCAAATTCCAAAATAAAGCACAAGAATTCTAACATATTTTTCTCTTCTCTCAGTAGGTGTTTGTAAAACTCTTCACTATTTGCTCTCAAGAGTATGGCAGTTTCAGCCATCTTGGGTTTGTAAATATGAAATTATCCCATTCCCTGACAGATCTTGTAAAGTTTCCATTAGAGATATACACACAATTTACTTAATAAAAGCAGAAAGATGGAACTTGTGCTCTGATACAGCACTATTTCAGACTGTCCAACAGCACCAGCTCTATTCAGTTATAAACCACGTTCATTTACAGTATACCCAAAGCATTACACTTAATTCCTGGCCATATCTCGATATCAGTAATCACAGGAAATACTAGGAAGAAAGTAAATTGAATCCACATAAACTATCTGTAGATCTGTTACTCTAATGTCTTCTTTCTTCTAAATTAAACTCTGGAGTTTATAGTGGATTTCCACTGAATTGTATTTTCTTCCTGTGTATTTATTTAATTGGTCAAATGACACATACAGGTTGGAAAAAGACATATGGGAAACAGAAAGACAAAAAAAAAAAAAACAAAACAAACAAAAAAAAAACCCTAGAAGGGAGAACCAGACAGGCATAGTTCAGTGATGTGTACTGTAGCCATTCCAAAACATACTCTTTGCCTAATTCCAGCACTGGAATGTATGGAAAACACTAAATGGGAACTTTCTCTAAAAAAAAGGAAATGGGAAGAACAAAACAGAATTTAAGAGAGCAATTTACTTATTTCCCCAATGCACTTGACAGGAGACATGTAGTGCCCTTACTGCATTTGGATTTTGAAGCACATAATGATTTGATTTTTTCCAGCACATAGCACCAGGGGAGAAGAGCTGGTACATGGTGACTTATCAATGCTATGGGCTGGTTCAAGCCAGGTTGGATGGGGCACTGAGCAACCTGGTCTAGAAGAAAGTGTTCCTGCCAGTGAGGTTGGTACCTTCCAACCCAAATAATTTATGATTCTATGATGTTTTCATCATCTTCCAACAACAAAACACTATTCAATGTGTCAGCACAAAAAAGTAAACCAAAAAAACTACAGAGAGCAGAGCAAAGCAAAGTGCTTTTGCCCACTGTAGCACAGTGCTGGATGGCTAAGTTAAGAGGAAAGCCTTCACATACCATTAAAGACACAGTTCATGTACTGTTTGCCACTGCTTAACCTATCAATGCTGGTTACCTCAGTTGAATTTCTATTTAACACACCCAAAACACTACCAATACACTATCAGTTTATGTGAAATATTACAATGTAAGTAGCAACTTCAGCAAAACAAACTAAGTATCTTCAAAAGGCAGCACTCACAGGGAGCTTGCAGTCACACAGATGATGCTGTACTAATTTTAATCAGGGTGGGTAAAGTGCTCTAAACCTTTAAGTTGACAAATTAAGTTTAACTAGGTCAAATTCAGCTTGATGGAAAGATATGCACACATCAAAAAAAAACAAACTTCAAAGCATGTCACCTCACAAAATGGAGAATTTGATTTCTTTTAAGTTATCTCTCTTCCCTGAAAAGGTATTTCATTAAATGTTGCAAGACAGACTGAACACTCATAGTCCATATCAAACAATATATTCTATTATTCTGCAAGAAAAAGGAAGAAAAAAGATGCAATTAAGTTAGACAGGACAGAAAACTATATTGGTTTGGGCAGTTTTATGGTTAACATTAAATTATGAAAAGAAGAAAATAGTAATTTCTAAGCTTATTTTCCATATGCCACAAGTTCTAAGCAATAGACACCCTCTAGGCAATTTTCATTTTACTTCTGCATTACATTGTGTTGACATTTGCAATGTGCATTCTTTCCTGAAATATTTTAACAAATGTTAATGCTGTGCTTTAGGCTTAAGCTTATGCCCATCACCAGTGGCAGAATGCTAGTCCCTAGATATCCCAAGAATACCTCCTAAAAACACAAACAACTCACTCCCTTAAATATCTTATTATATTGAGACAGGTTAATGCTGGATTTAATTGATGCCATGGAGGCAAGGAGTGAGGGAGGGGGAAGATGAAAGCAAAACGCACCCACACAGACAACAAATTGTTAATTACATTTTATCGCTATATACCTGCTCATGGTGCATAAACTTCTCAGGGCAAAAGAAGAGCACACCAAAAAGGAAAAGTTTCCATAGACAAGCTGTTACATGAATAGCAGGAGAAAATAATCATATTGACATAAGACATTATTTAATCATGTAAGAAATTATCACAAAATCAATTTATCCTAGGTTGAAAATGAGCATGGTTGGTTTGCCTTGGCATTTATCGAACTGCAGGATATCATTAAGCTGTAACAACTTTCCAGTCCACTGGCATTCTTCCTTCAATGTCTGCACATCATAAAGCAGTAACTCCTACAGAACATGCATACTGTTAAGGACTGCTCTTTTCACCAGCCTGCTAAGCACTATTAAAATTGCATGGGCTCCTTCAGCCAACATATTGTGCTTTAAATATTGACCTTTAAATTCCAAAGTCGTTAGCACAGTACAAATGGAGAAAAATATATATATATATATTCTGAAGGGCTCTACCATATAAAGGTAGATTAAAATTCATCATACAAGCATAATGTATTTTTGCAGTTTCTGATTACAAAGGATATCAGAAAAAAGATAAAGTGATGAGAAAGACTATCATATCACATTTAGTAATTTTTAAACAACTTTGCTGTAAGCAGTTCTTAAGAAGATGTGTCTTCTGCCATAAAAGGTATGAGTATCATTTCAATGACATTGTGAAAGATTTTTTTTATACTAATGTTGTAACTAAATTAATCCCAAACTCTTTGAAATGGTAAAAGAATTCAAGAGTAGTGATGATCTAGTGAAACAGAAGCTAACATGCAGTTGTATAAAATTGTGCTTAAAAGAAGTGAGATTCCTCAGATTTGTTTATATGAATGACTACTATTTCAAGATCCATTTCCAGAGACATGTGTTTGGAAGGTAATACAACCACATTTTAGAGAATGAAGACTTCATGTTGATGACTTAAGTCCTGTCAAGGCTGGCAAGAGTTGTGAGTTGCAATTTAAAATTCTTGTATGTGATCACAAGTGGAATCCTGAACTCTGGATAAAAACTAGGCTCTCCCTTGGATTCACAACAGCCACGATCAGTGGGCAAGTATTTCCCTTCTGCTTAGTGAGTCAAAAAGAACCATTCCGTGTAAGATAGTTTAAAACTCATACTTTCTCCTGAACAAGATAATATATGAGCAAATGTATTATATATGAGAAAATGTCTTCTAATGAAGGATCCAGAAGTTGTGTTTTCTGAGCAGCAGGATCCTCTGGCCTTGCTTACAGAAGACTGGATCCTTAAAAAACACACAGTTTAGAAGAAACGTGGTCTCCTCTTTCTCTCTGTTAGAATTGTGTACAAACTACCTTAACTTGAAAGACAACTCTGTTCCATCTGAGAGAATTTAAGTGTCCATAAAGGTAACCAAACCTGCTATTCTAAGATGGGAGAGATTCATCACCAGTTCTGCTGGCACGTTTCAGTGCATGAAATATCCCAGTGTACTGGGTCAGTCATAGCACAATTGGCAATCCAGTAGACAAGCCAGCCAGCTGGAGAAATGAGACAGTCTCAGCCCCACCTTTGCATCCTCTCTGATACAGGAGGCCAATTTCAGACAGCTGTGAAAACTGCAGCAACTATTAAACAGAGGTCCATCCAAAGATCAGTACCAGAAAGTTTTATTTTTGGATTTGAGTAACAAAAATAAGGCATGAATAGAACAGATGCATTTTTGGATCTAGTTGTTGCACTCCATCTTTCACTGGGCAAAAGAAACACTTCTTTTTACCGTGGGAGAGAAAGATGAAGGCTGCAACTCAAGTATCATCAAGTGAAATAACATTTTATTTCAACTCCTACTTGGATACACCTGCATCACAGAAAGTGCTACCACAGTTCTGGTTCTTTTAGTAAAGTCCAGATATAATCTGGTGACTATAGAAAGACAATTACTAAATTTTCTCAAAAGGTATTTCTTTTCTAAGTGTCACAATCAGACACAAAGATTAAAGGACACACAGTGTGAGGAAGCTTATGCAAACCAACCAGTGCCTGCCCCGTATATATAAGCTGTGAAAAGCTGTGCAAATTTAGGTCTACTTGGAATCCAATTTGCTGTCATTTTTAACACAATTTTTTGGACTTGTTCTTTTAGAAAGATTCCCAAACAAAACACTCTAATTGATAGTAAACATCTGTAATTGGTTTGTTGTCCTCAACAACTTGAAAAAAAAAAATTTTTTGTAACTTCTAGTAACTCTTAAGCAATCCTGCCAATAGACCTACACACGGACTAAAAATTAACCCATGCTGCTAGCAGAAAAAAATGTTTTCTAAAGGGCATTAGTATAAGTTGAGTTAAAGTGTTTATATACTAAAAGCTATGCAAGAAATTTTAAATGGTAAGCAATTTTCTGCCTAAAAAAATAGTTGGTAACAAAGCTGCTTCTATTTTAATAATTTTTTTCCCTTCAGCAGAAAAGCCACGCTTTCTTGCATAAGCTGACTGGATAAAGTTCTAACTGGATAAAGTACTGCTGCATAAAGTACTAACCAGACATTTCTTGTCTCTCAAAGTTCAGGTGTCATCATACTATTTCCAACTCATTTGTTATATTTGCCACCATCACATAAAAAACATTCAACATAGAAAAACTTGTTTTTCCTTTACATTCAAGGAATTTATTCACCAGGAGCTGTGCATACTCTTCCCATTCCCTTATGAATAATTTATACAGTGCCAAAAAAGACCACCTCAGCCCCAAACTCCAACAAATTAAGTAATATAAAATCAGATATAATGAAAGAGTTTAATCTTTTCTAAAGATTTTGACATGTTTTCCCTTGAAAACACATTTGCAAATATTTCTAAACATACACTGTTAAAAAGCAGACTCTAAAAAAGCAGCATTTATATTACTTCTCATATGAAAAAGATCATAACTTTTATAATTTATTCCCACTTGCAGGTCTATGATTGACACCGGATACCCTACATCTCAGAAATAATTTCATGAACAAAATCAATGCCATTTAAATGAAGGGAGTATAGTATTAACTCCCCAGCCAGTTTAATGTAATGAACTGGTTAGCTGGTGTTATTAGGATAGCCTACAACACAATGCCTTTGCTTATTTACAAAGTCTAAACCCAAGCTGGTTGTCAAGCACATTAAACAAGACTGAACACTCAAATCAGATTTAACCACTATTTTAAGACAGTCTTAGAAATAATGCCTTACTGATAGAATGTAAAATACATGCTTTGGGCAATAAAATATATTGCATTGATCAAAGCTGGTTACATAAACAAGCTTAACCAACCACTGCAAAAGAGGTCATCATATCCACTAATAAATATCCAAACCCCATGACTGCAAATTTAGTCCTAGTCCAGAAAGAGCACAAACAAACTAGAGAGTTAATTAATTGTGTTTTAGTTGACAGCTGAGTTTAATGTTATGATGAACTTATATACCTTTCTACTTGCAAAGCAAAGTGAACAGAGCAGAGAGAAACAAATTCCATTCTAACAACTGAGCAAATGTGGAGAGGCAAAATACACACAGGAGGAGTGTGTATATTTCAGACCACAAAAAATACAGTACATTACTCACACAGTTAGAAAAAAACAAGACAGTTACAAAATGTTTAACTGGTAAAAGTTTAATGTCAACTTACTTATAAAAATGAAAAAATATTTTAAAATTCACCAAACAATTGAGCAACCTGGCCCTACTGACTACCAGCTATAGGAAGGCATTAGAGGAAATGATGGTTGTGTCAAAACAAAGGCTAACTTGAGGCATGTATGCTGTTTTGAAATAAAAGAAAAAACAAAAAACCCTCTCATTTGCAGGAAGCTAGATGCTTAGCCTAATTTTTAAAGCTAATTACAAAATCCTCGTTCATACTGGTCCAGATGTCTTGACAACTTCTTCTTCTAACAGAACTGTCAAAAGAAAAGAATTTTTTATGAGATCTTCATACAGCTTAGTTCTAAATCTTTGCAAGAGGAAAAAGAAATACAACACCATATTTAGGATATGGAAATTACTAATTAAAGCATTTTCTTATATTTTAACCATTCCTTCAGGCATCTGTATACAGACACTGCTGCAACTGCCGCCTTACAAAAGGTTTTAAGGACAAACGTACTTTTGCAGTAGTGCAAGCAATTCCATCAAACAATTTCTAAGCTTTATATATTATTTAGGTATCTCAGAGCACATATTTGAACAATATTCAGCAATAAGCTATGTAAACCAAGATGCATAAAATATTTTTTTATGTGGCAGTGTTAATGTATACCGTGCCACGGACCTACAGAGCTGCAGTGCTCTTAACGTAGAAAAATAAGAGAATGAGGTTATCATGCTTCCTATGGTATGCAATCACACCTTAACCTGTAAATTTTACAGGCCTTCAAGTAAACAAGTGTTTCTCCATTTTATTCAACTACCAGTGTTTCTTAGAAACTTTATAAATTCCTGTTTCCCGAACTTGAAAAAAATATTCAATTAAGTTATCACTGCCCTACAGTTATCCTGGCACAGGAATACAACAGCAGTCATCTCTCTGTTTTTATTGCTTCTTCTTTTCAGAATAGCAAAAAAACAGAGAAAACAATAACAACAAAAGGTCTAAAAAAGGCCTTTTACACTCACCAAAGCAGAGATTAAAACCAGTTAAAAGAACTTTGGGTAAAGAAAGCAAAAACACAGTGATTAGCTTGTCACCACGTGGTATGGCAAAGCAGTATTGTAACTAAATGTTGCAAGGACTAAGTCCTGACTTCTCCCCTCCTTTGGCACCAACCTACTTGAGAGATCTCACACCTTCAGTGAAAAATACATTTCTAACTTAAAGCTATTTTGCGATCTCTACTTGCAATATCACTAATGGGTTAAGAAGTAACTAAAAGTGAACAGAAAATGGTTTGTCACATTTACTGTAAACCCAAATTAACCACAGAGGCTGGCTGCCTGCTATCAAATATGTAGAGCAGTCTAACAGTCTTACCTTCCATCTGTTTCCACATTCATTACAGACAACAAACGTTGTCATGGGTTCATCAGCACTGCGGGTTTGAACCTTTGGCAAAGGCAAGAGCCAGAGCGGAAAAGGAAAATTAGTATCTTCAATTTTTGTTAGTGTGTGTTCAATGTAACTGTTTAAATCAAAGTTTAGCATTAAGGAAATGAATTTGCATAAAAATACAAGTTAACTTTATGTATCAACTGAAACTGGGCTTTTTGCCTCCCTATATATATTCGGATTTTGAGAGATTTAGTAGCAGTAAAATACCAATTCCTGCATTGAAACTGTGCACGTATTTCTAGGAGCAGATTCTGCACTAAAAGTACAACGTCCAGTACACTTTCACATACATTTACTGATGCAAAGGCTTAAAAGTCTCATGACTGAAAAACAGCTTGCTATTTAAAGCAGTTGATAAATATAAAATATAAACGCAGCTGATCCTATGATGAAAATTACATTCCCTGAAGCACTGTTAAACAAATTAAAGCAACCTTTCTGTGGCTGTAGGAATGACTGTAAATCAGGGTCTAGTGTTGCTCAAATGGCACATTAAATATATACAAAAAATATGCATGTGTATCTATGTATATATAATTTTCTGCTATTTAGTCCCTCTGTAAAAATAAGCTTATGCACATTAAAAACAGTATCTCTCCTCCACATAAACCCCTTATCAATATGATGTATTAAGAAGAGTTAGCAAAAATTCAGCACTGCAAAGAAAGTGAAGTTTCAATCTATACAGATACTCGGCTTCGATGTACATAAAATTTTTGGCAAATAAATACAACAAACTTGCTTTACATAAGCACAACTAAGTAGATCCAGCTATCTTCACATTTTGTAATTTGTCAGCATTTCGTTAAAAGTTCATTTTGCAATACCGATTTTTTTCTCTGAGTATCTTTATATAGAACTTAAGGTTTGAAAAAGGAAAATTAGGAGTCTGAATAATCACACACCTGGGTGTATGTACAGTTCTTCTTTTTGCACTTGCCACATGTAAACAGATCAGTTTGGGTACCTCCTGTTTTAGCCATCTGGTGCTCTCTGATGGCTTCTTTGGTCAGATTTTTGCGCATTTCTTTCAGCTCATCACTTGCCATTTCCTATAAAGGACAAAGAGCATACAGAGTTTACTAGAGAGTTTTAGCTTTAAAACAAGCTACCACAGTGCCAGCCAATACAATTTTTTATTTAGAATCCATGAACAACAACTCTGTTGAAGAGCAATGTAATTCTACACATTTTTAATTTTACAAGACTTAAGCTGGGATATTTCACAGCACAGAAGCTACAAGAAGTTAAAAATGTTCTCCTTTTTAACACAGATAGGAAAAAAAAAAGTACAACATCAAACATCTAGAAACATTTCTATGTAAATACACTTCTGAAGTTCAGAAACTTAAGCAAGGCAAGATAGAGGACTTAAAAAAGTTCTCCAGAGAGGCAAAAAAGATGCTCTCCCTAGGTCAGATCATTGGATAATTAGCTCATTGACCTACATAACATTTATTATAGAAAAAAATTTACATTATTTTGACTATTTCCATATTTGTACTGATAAATACAGTACAGCCATAATTTAGCATATGTTACCAGAAATCATATAAACTTAGTTTCTAAACACTAACAAAATAGTTCAGAATCACCCATTTTATTTTTCTCTTAAAATAGTCTTAGTGCACAAGATCCCCAGAAGGTCTAGCAATCAAGTGTGCAGAGCAAAACCAATTTATTACATTTTTATTCAATACAATTTTATTCACCATTCCATGTAGGTGTGGAATGAAAATCTTGTATCAATGCTTCACTTCAGAAGTAATCTTAACACTTAAGGGGGTTTTAGCCATTGACATTTTAATCCAAAACAATAATCAATGCACTGGACAAGAGAAAACATATGTTTGTGCATATGTACATAAACATGTAGAACAAAGAAAATGAAAATACATACTGAAGGTAAAACTTGCTTTTTTTACACATTCTTTCACCAGCCTCTGTTTGCCCTAACCTTTATGTGAAACTATAGTTAATAAAAAAGCCAACCAACAAAAAAAACCCACCACAACTTTCTTTTGGAATAAAGTTAGTCATGATTTGCACTAGTTGACCATAATAATTCCCCTCAGTCTCCAAGGCACTCCTTTATACCTCATGTGAGGGGGCAGAACCTAACACACAGAAGCAGAACTACAGAACTGAAACAAATGTTAACAAGATGCATCTTCATTTTCCTCTCCCATAAAATCTATTTCTTCATTTGACTTTCTAGATCTATTTTGACTTGTAAAGACAATTTCATGGCCTCTACCCCAACACAGCCCTGTAATTCAGATTCTGCAAGCCAGAAAAAAGCCACAGTCTTTCAGAACTGCGGGCAGCTTACACAAATTACTTTTGTGGCTAATAAACACAGGCCAGGATGTAAGACCAAGAGGGAAATAGTTCAAGACCTGCGCTTCACTTACCTCTGCTGTCATTTTGGCAAACTTGTCAGGAGGAATGTTTCCACATAATACATTTTTCCTTAGGTTAGGGTTCTTTGCATCCTTGAGATTCGCTATCCTACTTCGTACCCTATTTTTGTATTTCATATCAGTGTTTTTTAATTCTTGAAAAATAGGTGCTTTAGAATTAAGGAACAAAACATGGATAAGTAAAATAGAGCAAAACATTAACAAGTAAAACAGAGAATTAGAAAAGATTCATTTTGGGGTCAAGTTCTAAATCAGTGTACTCCTCCACTGTCCATCAAGTTCTCCCCCCACCCCAACCAACAGCTACTTTCCTGTTCAATACAGCAGAATTCACAACCTTCTGAAGCCTAATCATAGTTTAGCACAGGCTCAGTGAAATATGAATTTTTGGGCAGTAAGACCTCAACTGTAACAGTGAAAAGTCATCCATAAGTTTATGTCCAGTTTATTGACCTCATCCTGAGAATTAATTCAATTCTGAACCAAATATTCAAATAATGACAGCTCACTAACACTTTCTTCTTTTGTTAAAAAAGAAGCGCAGATCTCTGTTCTGGAACTGTTGAAACATATCACTCTTTTTAAAACTGCAAATCCATTTAGAAATAAACATGTAGAAAATTAAATAAAGACACTAGAAAATTATTAAGACTGTTAACAAGAAAAGATTTTTAAACAGTGTAGAAGAGCCCAGCATTTTATGTAAGAATGCTTCACTAAGATATAATATTGCTGCTACAAGGAAAACATATTGAGCCGAAAAGAACCCACTCACACTCACCTACATGCATTCCTACATATTTTAAGGCAAATCATTTAGGTTGGGCTGGTTTTTTAAACACTAAATTTATGTACTGATGTGTTGAACACAGTGCCATTTTTGTTTCATATGAAATACAAAAACATTCAATATATAGATCAAGTTAATTAATTTGAAAATTACTGGTTTTTAAAAACACTCCTGCTCTAGAGCACACAGATATACAACAAAGGATATCTTCTTCAATCTGAGAACCCAGCTCTTCTTCATCAGCACCAATAGCAATGTAATCATCTGAGGAAAACAAATGATAAAATATTAGCAACCTGACACTCTGTATTCTATATACCTGAGATCCCTATAGTTCCAGAACTCTGAAACTCAGCAAATTATAAAACACCTTTTTATATATGTAATTTTAATTTACTGTGTACTTAAACTTTCAAAATTTATTACTTGGAAGAACACAAATAAGTGAAAGAAGCAGAACAGAAGTTTAAGAGTTAAAAACACTTAAAAACCAAAAAACGTCTGACACCTAATTGTAAACACAAATAGAAACAAAAAACATTGCTATACAGAAAAATCTAAAATATTCCAAAAGGGTTGGCATGTCTCCCATCTCCACAGTCTGTGCACAGAACAGGCTATTATAAAAGGGAAACATTTTATATTGTGTTTAATCAATTGTTTTAGTCCACACAATACAAGAATAAGCAAATAAATGTTTTGCATGCATGGAAGAGAAAGATTTCATTAGAAACATAGTAATTAAATAACAAACAATCTTATTAGACTTTTTTTTTAACTGCAAAGCAGAGACGTGTCATAAAACATGCAAATTAGAAGAAATAGACCACAGCAGTCTTGAAGGCAATACAACACTTCAACTAAAATGTCTCAAATTAACTGTTTACTGTTTCTGACCAAAACACTTCCTCACAAAGAAATCTACCTTTCCAAGACAGATTAAGAACAAATTACATACAATGTTTGCCTCCTCGTTTCAGTATGGGTGTATCTCAGTGAGTAATCCAAATATCATTTGTCCTTTGATCTCATACCAAAGGCCATAAAATAAAAAAATAACCTTTTTTTGATATGGAACATCAGTTTATATGTGCTGCAAAAAGCAACAAAGCAAAAAAGTATTTTGGAAAACTATCTAAAATGAAGACTATACAGAATAATGAATACTAAGATGCTATGATACTAAGATGTGACTGCTCCCAAAAGAAGTGTATGAACTATATATCCAGATGACCACAAATTCATGGTGTTTAGTCAGCTTTGCCTATTGTCTATACCTGAATTTATATGAATTAAAAGAAAGAATAAAGGAGTGAAGAGAGTAAACACAGATGATTCAGAAGTCTACTTACAGTGGGCCAAGTTACACTAAGATATGAACAGAGAAACAGGAGCTGGGTCATAATTGATAAAGAGAAAAATGCACCAGGAAAAAAATCAGATAATTCTGAAAAGTCTAGCTTTCAATTTGCTCTTTATCTAGCAAATCATTCAATTTGTCGGTTTAAAGACACCCAAGCATACATGAGAGATAAAAAGAAAAAACCCCAAACAGTCAAGGAATTTACAGATACCCAAAAGGCATCGAGGTTAAGAGCAATGCAAGACTCTCTTATTGCATCTTGCTGAAATGTCAAGAACAAATCAAAATAGATAGGCAGCCTTCAAAAACTAAAATCTGAAGGTTCCTAGGACCTCTGGTGTAAGAAAGGCAGTCTTGTATATAGCCACACCCTCTCAGTCAAAAAGACCGAGACAAAAAAAATAGCAGCCTCTACAAAAAGATTTAAATGAAGAATTAAGGAGGCAATAACATTCCTGAAAAGAAGATCCCCTATTGGCAAGGTATCAGATGAATTGAGCCACAAAATGTCCTGAATTAGCAGCAACAAAAATGCATTTTGAAACATTCCCATGCTGTCAAGGTTACTCATTACTTGCAGCTTGGGTGAACTGGTTTATGGGTCTACACACAAATGGACACAAAGAGGGTTTAGTCTACCCTACAGGGCAGGAGAACAGGTAGAGTGGGAAAGACAAAAACAGTGAAGGAAATAGTTAAACTTGAAAAGATAGTCTACAAAGCTCACCTCCTGTTCTGAGAGCTGCAGAGAGCATTTCTCTACATTTCACTCTTACAGAGTCTGAAGTGCTTGGTGCCCGGGGAAAAGAAGGGATGAAAGAATTTGAGGGAGCACTACCCTCCTCCTTCCTGCTGCTGGAATTGCTACTTGAACTGCTAAAGAAAGGCAAAATGAAAACCAATATCAATGTTTTTTTCCCCTTCTTCAAATAACTTTGTTTCTGGGCAAAATATGGGTCTTTTGCTACATCCATTTCATGGCATTCGAAAATAAGAACACAGGCCACCTTTTTAAAGTTATTTATAGCTCTAGAGTCAATACAATTTCTAAAGTGTCTTTAGACTATTCACTAGGGTATTCCACACAATAGAGACATAGCAGGTATTTCATTCCATTATGTGGCACATAAGCTTTAATTCTCAGTTCTTTACATTAACATGAAAGCTTTTTTTCCTCCCACGGAACTTTATAAAACAGTGACGATACATCACACCAACATTCACTCTGCAGCAAATGCCTTGCATTCAATCTGCTTACTGTACTGAAGGGGTGTCATGGTCATACCCCTCCCCCCCCTCAATTTATACAGTTTTGCAAACTGTAAACCAAGTTTTCAGCTTCCATCTGGACATACAGTTAGAGGTTAAGCTTCAATTTTAAAATGGCTGCTGAACAGAGATCACTAAACTCAAAAATGTATAGAAGAAATGGGCTTGCAAATAGTCTTTTGTAAATGTTCTTCATCTCCTGCAGTGGCATTAATGTAGGCTTTTTTTCTGGTAACATATTTTGTGTTTACCAAAAAAAGTGCAATGTTTATTAAACATAAAAGCTAACATACAGAAGAAGCATATGCAATTACCACAAAGCAGAGGCTGAAAGTCGTTTTACAGTTCTCAAAGCTGGGTGCTAGTACTGAGAAAGGACAGAGTATTTGACAGACCCAACAGATGGAATAAACAATAAACTTGTCTGGCCATATCTTGACCTATGTCTTTCTTTTTTTTTCATGTCAACAGTAGCACAGTTTATTTCCCCAACAACACACTGTTTCTTGTATAGCTCTGCCTTTCAGAAAAGTATATGGCAGCTGTCTGTAATATGACAAATTTGGACCAAACAGTTTAATGTCAATTTAAACTGAGTGGGATTATTTGCACAGCCAATAAGAATTAAGCACCTTTCTTCTCTGGCTTCAGGGCTGTTTTGTGAGGAAGATGCAGGCTCCTTTTTCTTTTCTTCAGAATCTTTATCAGTTGAAGGTCCATCTGGAAATACAAAACATGAGAAACTCTCTTCTACACCCAGAAATAGTAACTGATTTAAAGCAGCGGTAAAATATCATGATTTCTCCTGAACCACTTGGAAATGCTATCAGCTCCCACTCTCCGCTTTGACCTTCTCTCGCAGTACAGCCTTCCACTTCCAAACACCCTCCCAACGCAGGAAATGGAAAACATGACAACACTTCAGGATCCTTCGAGTCAAGTCCAGCATCTGCTTAAACTGGTAGTGAAAACATGATGGAAACATAGACTTCCATGATTTATTTTTTCCAACACTCCTGCATTAGGTAGACAGTAACTTCCTAGGTATTGCATCAAGTCTCTGGAATTTGTCTTCCATGCTTTATATACTTAAGTTCCTACTACATACATGCCATTCTTTTTAATTATATTGTGTAAGACACCATTGCTGGCAAAATATAAAGTAATTTTCATATTTTTGAATGAGTTTTCCAGACACACAGACAGTATCTTCTGTGATAGCACTTAAATTATTTGCCTTAGTATTTAAATATATTTGAATCTGCAATTCCCATAAAGGTTATATTTCACTACGATTTTGTAACGAATAAAGACAAAAGTCTTTATGGAAAATAGCAATCACAACATTTAACTCCAGCACAGCAAGAATGCATACACCCTTCTATTGTAAAGAGGATTTCAGAGTGGATAAATTGAGTGCCTGCTTTGATTTGTTCTCTAGAAAGGCTGGCTCTCTGCTGCCTACAGAGAAAACCTAGTGAGATTGGCATCACTGAGTGACAGATTTCGTGAATTCCTCTTTCTGAGCCCTTATAAAGCTGCTATTACACTTCTAAATTTGTAGACTGTATTATTGGAATAAGAATATATTACAAACTTTAAAATTAATTAAATGCAGAACAAGAAAAGGAGGGAAATCTGTTAAGGCTTAGTCTTGCCAACAAAGATGTCCTGAACTAAGCATGTAAATCCTTGTTTAAGCATCTATAAGCATCTTTACTTCTGGAGGAACCCCGTACCTGTGCTTCTCAGAGGAACTTGGTTGTATGTAACACACAAATTTGGGTCTCCTCAAACACTGAGCTTTTAATTTTTATAGAGTGGAAAATAACTGTACTGGCTTTCTTTTTATAGGAACAATAAACTGAACATGATTTTGATCCTTTCCTTAACCTGTGAGTTAAGGAATTTATCTAATCAAATACCACTTCATTAAAAAAAAATCATAAAAAGAGAGTAGAGACAGCACCACTGGATCAGACCAGGCACCAATCTACTATTCTGTCTCCAGCTGCACCTATAAAGAGATACACACAAAATAGAACAGGAACCAGAAAAGCACAAGATACTTCTCCAGAGTATTCCCCCAGCCTTCGAGAGCTCACCCATTGTTTGCAATGTTGTATTCAATCCTTGATGAATTTTGTTTAAGAAAAGGAAGATAATTAAACACAGATGATGCACTCAGGCTGACTGTCTTTAATAAGCTGAAGATGTTATTTAAAGAATTCCTAATAAAGATACCAATTTAATAAAATAATTTAACTAAGAAAGCAAACAAGACTATAAACCCAATGGATCACATGAGTTCTCTGCTATGACAACTAAAGTGCACTAAGAGAAAGAAAACAACTCCCATTTTTAACATGCATACTCACTCTCTCTATGGCAACAACTGATTACATGATATAATCTTTACAGATGCTCCAAATATGCACCCAATCTCATTTTACTTCATAATGTTTTAAGTACATGCTCATTTCTGTCAGAGGCTTTAAGACAAACCAGTAGATCAAACAGGTATCTTGGGGTACAGCTCACGTCTGCAAAGCAGGACCTCTGCTTCAGCCCCTTTACCTACACTTTTTTTTCTGGCACACAAGCTGTCAAATTCAGGTCTCACCTGTGTATCTCCTGTTTATTATGCAGCATACACACCACAGTGGTATAGCTGGCACACAGATCTCTTTTATCAAACACTTCCATTTAGCCCAGCACCATTTCACCACAGACAGACACCTGCCAACACCTGCCAATACCCCAATAGCTTCTTTCCCTTATGGAGGGCAGGCTATACACAAAGCACACTGATAAAAGCACAGCTCCTCCTATAGCTGCAGACCAGTCAATGCAAGGATGTCTCAAACCAAGGTCAGGCTTGAGCAGCTGAGACTGGACATCTTCACCATGTATGTCTTCAAAATGACAGCTTCTTTAATCACTTAAGAGTTTATAGATATTTTTGCTTAATCTAGTTTCAGAATGCTGAAAATAAAGTTAATATTATCCTAAGTGCTTAAGTTGCTCTTATGGATCATAAATTGGAAAGCACTAGAAAAGATGCTTTCCATCTTTAAACTCACGTATCTTGTTTTATTGAAATGCTGTATTGACAAAAGAACAGAGTGCAATTAACAGCCTGCTAGGCAGCATTTCATCTATCCTCTGGGGAAAGAAAAATTATCCTTGACAAATTAAAAGTCCCTACTAATTAGCTTATTTTACATTCAATGACCAGACTCTAATAGAAAGGAAGAAATGGGAACTATGAACAACCACAGAAATTCTAACAAAGTAAGGTGGAAAAAAACGGCCCTTCTGTGAAATGCCTTTAAAAATTCCAATGTGATTCACCTCAGGAAGTCTACAGAACATTATAAATATTTATATAATATAAACTACAAGTTGTGCAGTTCCTTTTTGTACCCCATACAGCTATTCAAACTTACTAATTTGTGCTTCAGAAACAAATGGAAACTGTCACCAATTTTAGGACTGAAAATTGTAACTTTGCGGTTTTAGCTACTGCATCTTCAGGTGGCTATTAAAAAAACTCAAAGCTTTGTTTTTTTATAAGAGAAGCTAATTTATATTAACACTTCTTTAAAATACAAAGAACATGGTAGTAACAAGAACAGACTATAAGCCACTGGAATAAGACATTCAAAGTTTAACAGCTGCTCTGCAGTTTCTACCTGGACTTGCAATTAATTTGAAAGATACTTGAAGCTTCTCCAATGAAAAATTTCTCCAGGGTCAAATAAGACAGAACAGTAGCTTGTGCTATTGAACAAAAAATTTTAATGTAGTAAGATACAGCCAGATAACATAATTTATCTGAATGTTAGAGGCCATTAATAGCTTTCTCCTAAATTTTTCTAACTGTATTATAAGCCAACACTAGACATTTGCTAGTAATAAGAAAAAATAAAAAATATAAAGATGCAATATTATTAATTTATAAATCTAATCTCAAATTAAGAAAAATATTAAAGTAAAAAATTTTTCCAGAAACGTTAATGAAAGGTGACTAGTTATTACCTGGAAGGACATGAAAATTTAATTTAGCAGGATACTGTGCGTTGCCTACTCAGGAATCACCACCAGGACTTGGAAAGTTTCCTGAGTATTTGGTTTAAATAAGTTAAAGAGAAGAGAGAACAGGTATCAAATTAATTTAACAATTACCTTCACATTCATTAATTATTTAGGCTTCATTTTCCAGACTCTGACCAAATAATCTTGAGATGCACAAGCAGCTACACTTGTCAGCAATTCCTCTACAAGATGTACTAAGGCATGAAGGTAAGTTCATTAAAGTTTCTTTTCAGTAGTAGCACTGGGAGGAGGAATATATAAAAATCCGTATATAAACAACCAAATTATGAACTGTTTGCTATTTTTAAAGATTTTTTTATCATCAGTGACAAAAGACCATGATACACGGACTTATTCACTATATGTGTTTTTCTCTTATATAGTATAATGCATTGTGTATTGTTATCACTCTGCTGATTAGCTTAACAAATCAAGACCTATTAACAGTACATGAACAGTTCCAAATATACACTTGACCAGAGGTGATTTCTACAGCTCATACCAGATACGAAAATGAAACTACTGAAATTGTTTTTGCACTTGATTCTGCTTGATGTCTTACAAAGACATGTACTCTTCTTATCAATAGTAAATAATATTTGTAAATGCTATTACACTCTAATTTAAGAACTTGCTTTGCCAGGAACATTTTTTTTTGGCAAAGCCAGTAAGTTGAGATGTCCTTGAACATCTTATGTTCAAGGTCACTTATGACAGCACTAACATACCTGTAAGATAGTCCTAGACTGCACCTGCTGGCTCCAGGAGAATCAAATCCAAGTTTGAAATAACAAAGGATTTTGTGAGCAAAGTAGTATTAGTAAAATACTTCTGTGATGCCTGATTAGCATTATTAACAAATAAACACTCTTTTAAAATAAAATTACTCAGGCATGTCCTTCTTTGAAATAGGCATTTCAAAACGTTTGTGGCCTTACTTTTAGTTTTCAATATTGGCAACAGATGCTCACTTAGTGTTAAGAATATTGTGCTGTCATTCTGCATTTTTAGTTCAGTAAATAAAGTTACTATATAAAGTTTACTTAGAGGATGAAAGTTTACTTAGAGGTCTGGACATTCTTTTTCACTGTATACTCTTCAGTTCAGCACGTAGTTATTTATTATGAGAGTTATATTCCTTAAGGGATTTTTGTTGCTTTTCTAACACAAAAAACACTCCTGACAACCTAAATGAGTGTGCATAGATTAATTATCTGCACAGCATACTCTGTATACTCAACTACTTGGCAAAACAATTATTTGTAAATCCAATGTTATAACTGAGCAGCATTTTATTTGGACAGCTGAATTTAGCTCCTTATGCAAATTGTGACCATTTCTGCTGTGTAGTTTAACTTTCAGAAAGTATCTGAAAGGGACCTTGCAATGTGGCTTCAGACAATGGTCACAAGCCCCCTGCTGCACAGCTTCCAACCCCTCCAATAAAACATTGGTAACCTGGGAAGGCCCGAGTCAAGCCACAAAGATCTGGTGATTCACAACTGACTTTGATTTGTTCTCATGTTTCCCGTGCATTCCTAAAGACTAAAATTTGATAGCATTGAACTGGAACATTACATGCAGCCTGAACAGTCAACAATTCTTGCCTAAATTCAAAATGTCATTTATAAAAATAACTCACAAAGACTTCAGAGCTCTGAGTACAATGCTTGGTACGATTAACAGCTGTCCGCTTCTGCTGCCATCTTTGCTCCATACCATTTTACATGCACTATAAACAGCATAATCGAAACTGATTTCTCAAGCAGCCCAACATACGGTATTTCGTATTCTTCCAAGAAAGTCAAAACTAATGATAAAACAGAATAAGAGTACTTTGTAAGATTCCCACCCATACTTACACCCTATCTTTCACAGTTATGAAACTTTATGTTCTAATGAGTTACTGAGCAGCGATAAAGAGGCAGAACATTTACTTTACTATGCCTTATTATCGGATCTACATTACAGCCATGGAAAACTTATCTACCTAAGTTTTGAATGTAAGCAGTGCTATATTTTCAGGATTAACTTGACTTTATATTGTAAGTGCATTACCGCAACTCTACTAGAGCTAGCACAATAATTTACACACAACAATATGTTCTGTAACAAAAATTAGCACATGAACGAAGGTCACATACCCAATGCCTCAAGAAGTATTCAGTTCTGATAAATAACAAATATTTATTATTTGCTTTCCAGCTCCTTACATGTTTGACATCACCTCATGCAAAAAGCCTTAGGTAGAGTCTCCCAGCTGTGTTAAAACAATCTGATTATAGCAAACTAGGAAAGGAGAAGGTCCACCTTGCCCCAGCTGTTTGCTACTTCTACAGTCCCTGTGCAGGAAACAGTAACTGCAAACAAGCTGGACCAAAAAGTGATAGTTGAAATTTAAGCCAGAAGGAATGAAAAAAACAATTGGTTTTTAAGTGGTCAGTTCCCAGCTCTGGTCTTCTGGATAGGCACTCCAGCATTAGTTGTAACACAAGACGGAGTAAAGAGGCTCCTGTGCAGAAGGGAAGTCAGGACTGCTCCTTTGCACAGCAGCCTACACCCAGATAGACCTGCCGTGACCTTCTGGCACCACGTTCTCACCCAGACTTCTACAGCATGGAAACCCTCCAGGAAGGAGTGACACTCCCCATGTGTTAAAATGTTTGAACACTCAAACAGCAGTAAACTTTACATAATAACACATTAATACAATTGTGACTGACTTAAGGTACTCAAGTGTTAAAAAAACAAGACAATTGTTTTTAGTTTCTCAACAAACAAATGGCAAATTGTTTAGTCAAAGGACAGTGATAACCAGGCAGATCTCCCACTCCTCAAAGAGAGCAGCATCTGAGCACACTCCCAATGAGAATTCTGTTGGAAATGAGAGTATCTCCTCTGCTATGTTGTCTAAGTTAAGTTGTAGTATTAAAATTTTGAACTTCCAAGAAAAAAAAAATAACTCTCACCAAATGTTGATAGGGTTTTGTTTTTAAAACTTAGACTAATAAATTTTAATAACTTGAGAGCTGTATCACTCAGTCTAGCAGCTACTTTTAGAAGTCTTTAAAGTAACTGACACTAATACGCAAGTAAATTTCTCTACTTACATACCTTACCACTTTTACATACTGATACAATAAAGCCGGACTTCTACATTTAAATTTGAAAATAGAAAGTTTATTATTTTCACTATTTACCCGTTAATTCTGATTAGATCCTACACTAAGATCCTGATAGGCATTTATTTTTGCTATAAAGGTCATTATGAATTTAAAGGTATTTCACCAGCATGTCTAGTATCATCTAATTTTAACTACTAAAACTAACATTATTAGTAGGTAGGTTAAAAGTTTTTAACGTAGCTTAAAAAGGTTTGCCACAGAGGCTGTTGTTTCTTACGAGAGCATCAAAGTTTCAAGTTCTGACAAATTATCCACAGACAGAGTATTTTCTATGTCATTTACAAGACAGTAATAATTTATCTGATAAAACACTTCACAGTTGGTAAAAATGAGGCTGAGTTCAAATGGTAGGGGGACTCACACTCTCCTGGTATTTGGCATATTTTTCCAGATAGAATGGTAAATACCTAAATCATAATGTAAAGTGTTTTCTATTTTAAAATTTTAGCTTCAAAAATCTTAATTTACCTAAACTTACATACAAAGAAACAAAAGAGAGTGCACCACAGTGCATGAACAAAAATATCTGAACACATTTTGAGATTTAGGTGTTTTCAGCTATATTAAGTACTACCAAATACTCTTGAATAAAATCCTTACGGAAAGGTTTTAAGTGTATTAATTATTTTAAGGGAAATTAAACAAAAGGTATTAGGTCACTAATTAGTAAGCTGTTTAAAATTATGAAGGTTTTATAAAGTGCAGCTCTGTTTCTCTCTACCTGTAAGTTCTAGCAGATTTCAACATAATTTTTACTGTTTTTTTTTTCTTCACAAATCACTTCATAACCAAACTTCAAAGCCTCCACATTCTCACATGAGATTTAACACCAGTTCTTCAGAGTACTTGTTGTATTTGACAAAGACAATAATCAAGAAGAGGTCTGTTAATGCCTAGTGCTGCAGTACATTCACTCCAGCTCAACTGCAGGTAATGAGACTTCAGAAATGAATCATGTCAGAGAAGCTGATTTCCTACTGCCTGCCAGCCCAAATAAAATCCATTAACTGTTTCTCTACACACACTCTCTCAGTAATGGCCTGGTGACAGTCAAAGAGTAAAAAAACCAATTTCACCAGTGCAGGAAGTTTCAACATTCACATAAAAACACAAATATGTATAAAGCAAGGCAGGGTTGATGATGAGCACCAAGGCTACACACAGTTAAAACATGCAAGAGCAGGGACATTTCTGTTGCCATACCTAACAGCTTCTTCCAAGACTTGATAAGAGATTTTGCTAAAGACGTAACCTCTTCATCTGTGCTTTGCTTGCGTATTGCATTCACTGACATTCCAATTCTGGTAGACTGCAAAAGAAATAGAAATGTACATTATTACAAGTGACATGAAGACAATTTAACAAATAAGCATATATAAATTTGTACTTTGACATTAACTTTTACAGTATCTTTTTTCTTCTGTGGTGTGTTTGTTTCCTTTTTTCTTGTGATTATCAGGACAAAATACTGCAAGCCTTTATAAAAATTATTTTAATAACATGGACATTTTAAAAATACTACTGTCTGTCTTCAGCACAAAAGTTTGGGGATGGGTGGACAGTGATGGTGGGAACAAGGGTTAAGAACTGTATTTATATTTTAGCATTATAAGAAGCTTGCTAACTTCTTCACTGACATCATACTCTTAGAATTCCCATTTAGTGGCTGTGGAAAAAGCTGTAATACCAGCTGGGAGAAAGCATGTTTTAGGTACCTAAAAGTTTTGGTGACACTGAGATTCTTTAGAATCCTTAGCACAGAGAGTTCTGACTTTAGATAGAAGCAGAACTCTCTGTGTTTCAGATTTTAAAGAATGAGCTATCCTATCAGAAAAGGCCAAGACAAGCTTTAAGTCTTTGCCGCTACTGCCACCTACAGAGTGATTATGAGAGTGACAATGCATGCCTTTCAAGACTCAAAAAATGAGGACATAAATTAAGTGCAACAGTAACATTTTAGAAGTTTTATGGCTAATGTGTTCATGTATCAAGGAGAAAATTTCCACCCTTTTAGCTTCACAATAGGAGAAAAGCATTTAACAATACAAAGGATTTTATTATCTTTTTGTATTTTGACTGAGGACTACACATTTTTATTTGTTAAGATACTCAGTTTTGTTGCATTACCATTTACAGAACTCAGTAAATATAAATTACTCAATTTTGCAATAGATCATCATAAACTTCCTTCTTCTTAAAAGGAAAATTTAAATCTTTGTAGCTTGCTAAAAATGGAAATTACTTCTTACAACCCAAACAACACTTTCTGAGGCACCATGGATGTGCTAAATGACTGGAAACATACTTAAATAATCCGTAGCTATTTCAGCCAAGGAAACACATCAAATAACCTCAGGCCTGAGCATCAGGTCTAAACACATATTTTGGATTAAAGAAAACAGATGGTTACTCACCTGTAACTAAAGTGTTCCATGATGGACTCTGCTCACTCACATTAATGGTACTGGCCATTTCTCTTGATATTTTGAATACTTAAAGCTCAACATTACTTTCAGACAATAAAGAATAACATGTCCTTGAAAATCCATAAAATACCACATCTAGATGTAAAAAAATTATCTACCAAAAATCCCAACCTTCAATTAATACCTGGGCACAATGACAGCCTATGCTCATCAGCAAAGAGAAAACACACAAACTTACAGACTTACTTAGCTAAATAAAATCAAAAAAATTCAAGTAAAACTCAAAACTAACTAGAGAAATTTCTTCTTTTGATCACACGAGACATTTTATGGGAACTGTCTGAACTGCCAGCTTTCTTAAAGCGGTACATAAAAACAACTCATTTGTTTGCTTTTATAGAGCACTGGATCAAGACTTCAACCTCCTACCTGAAGAGAGGAAGTAATGATCTACTAATTTATCTGCCTGCTAACTGGCACAGGTAGTCACAAAAGATCAGTGCTATATTCTCAAAATTACTATGTTTTAGTGGCAAATCAGCTGACTGTATTTGAAATTTCCTTAGTCTTCCTGTCTGTTCCTGTGATTGCCATTTTTAAGTGAAAAACTCCAGTATTTTCATTCTTCCCCACTTTAAATTCTAGAGCACTTTTCATCTGCTTTCAGAGTAAAGACAATCAAAGACAGCGTAAGACAGCTATTTTCACCCTGAAGCACTGAAACTGTGGCCAGCAGCCTTCAGTAGGTGCAAATAGCACTGAGCAGAAGTAATCTATGACTGAACCCAAAGCAGAGCACACGGTGGCAACAGGTGTTCTCTAAACCAGAAAAAAAGCAAAAATGTAAGGAACACAGCTGGGGAGGAAGAGCAACCATTGAAGCAAGCAGAGGTGCTACCAACTTTAAATTCTAAGTGCATGAGGGTAGAGAATTGGTGAGCACTTGGACCAAAGCAGAGCCAAACCAACCACGGGAGAATAACCACCTCTGGATTCCCAGGTCTCCACAGCTTGCTTGCCAGTGAACTAGCCTGAAGCCATTAACAAGGGCTGCATATCACAGCCTAGCTCTGCACATGTGTGTGTAATTTCCTGTAAAACCTGTTTGTTAAAATAAAGCCTGACTGTCTCACTGTTTAGCTGTGCACTAACCACAATTAGCACCAGGGACACAATGCCTCTAATGCCATCAAGCTGCTGAACAGATTTGCAAGTCAGACCACCAGATAAATTGTGTGAGGAAACCTACTGGCTCACTGCCTAGCTGAGCAAGGATCAGCTTGCTTACATAAAACTCATCAGATGTAACACAGTGGTATTATTGCCTGTAATCACTTCAGCTTTCTGTGAAAATACATGTGGCAAGAAAAACAAAAGTCACCAGCACAAGCCCAGACTACTAATATGCACCTTCCTATTGCACATGCCTGTAAAACTAGTCAGAGGACCTCATCATTTCAGGCTGCAGTAGCAGTGGTATTACACAGGAATAACAGCTAGCAGGGCTTTTCTTGATGTAGCCAGCTTTCAAAACTTCTTAAAAATGGGTATTGAAGTATGCTTTTAATTTATGTTCTGCATTTCATCAATTCAAACACATTTCTCATAAGTCTTGATCTACACAGAGGAAGATAGTGCCTCCACTAACTCATGATCATCACCCTTCTTGACAGTGGCACACTAATGATCCACGGCCAGAGCAATGAGTAAGATTACTTCGCATTTCAACTCTTACTCCAAGTCCACCATTGCTTCAAAAAAAAAAGTAAATTTGAGTCCAAACATGTTGCTAAATCCAAGCTTATGCAGTGGAACTGTTTTGAATACAGCAATGGATATTTATGAAAAGATTCCTAACTAAGATACAGTCAATGCACTTTGCAAGAGTATCCCAGAGTACTTGAATTTCCAGAGCACTTGAAGAGAGATTTTTAATTCCAAAGGCAGAGGAACATCATTATACTTATGCAAAATATAATTTGCATTAAGACTTGCAAAAAGAAACTCCAAAGAATCAGGTTAACCAGAGGGGTTTCCTTGGTTTTGCTCTTGTTTTGTGTGGGGTATTTTTTCTGTGGGGCTTTGAGTTTGTTTTCTTTTTAAAGAAGAAGATTGAACATAGGGGACAAAGTGTTAGAGTTGTACTAGCATTCATGCATAAAAGTTCCTGTTGTCTGTCAGAAATAGTATCAGTAATAACTTACTAAATACATTCTGCAAGTATATAGGACACATGAATCAAAAATGTCATTGCTTCTGACACCTTTAAAATTTGAACTTTATAGCTAATTCTTTATCTGTGACCATTACCTGCCCCTTAGAAAAAAGTTACTTTTTGGTCTCCTCCAATTTAAATGGCTACTACAGCAAATCAGGTCTCAGATTTAACTCTTGACATTTTAAAATTTGCACAGATAGGAAATCTCTGGCTAGTTTGGAACAAAAGTTGCTCACTGATGAATTACAGGACAAGCTCTAAAACTTGACATGTAAGGAAAGTTGACCAAGTTTATTTTTTGAAAGAATTTACAAATAATATATGAAATATTGTTAAAGATGTAAATCTAAACAACATTAGTGAGAGCATCCGTGCAACTGGGAGAGATTGTACCCCTCCATCTCCAGCCCAGGAGAGTAAAAGAGGAATATACTTTAAGAAATACATTCCTCAGAGTGATGGAGGGGCGATGTGGAGTGTGTGTCAAATAAAACTTGCCTAAAAGGTATCACCTATGTTTCTCCTCACTTACAAGGCAAAACCAGAACTAACTACATAAGAAAAGATGTTTTCAGCTGTAATCAGGTGCATTCTTCTTCAGGAGGAAGGAAACACACCACATTTGTGTTAGAGTTAAAATGTAAGATTCTGTGTCTGGTAAATTTGTAAGCAGCTCTTCTCCTTTATCCATGACAAAATTCACTACTCTCAATCAGAAAAATAAGCTTTAAGAGTTTTCTACTGGAAAAAAACACTTATTATAAGTGTCCTAAATCAGATGAAGTGAGACTAGATTACCACTGATACTTCCAAGGACTTTGGACCTAGGAATCTACTTTAAAAGTGTAACCTTCTTTCAAATCTGCTGGCTCCACCTTCATTACAGAGTTAACATTTGCAACATAACAACAATGAGAAAATCATACCTGTAGTAACTCAAGGGTCATGGGAATATTCTTAAGCTCCTTCAATAGATCAAGAGCTCCAGCCTAAAAAAAAAGAAAGAAAATAAAAAAGTTAACTTAGCAATCAGGAACTTCAAATATATTATCAACAATAAAATCTGACTTCAGGGTCACACACTGGGTTCAAACCACCAGTTCTCAATTTATCCACAGAACATAAAAAAGAAATGTTCCACTTCACACACTCTAAACATTAACAGGCCTTAACTTGGAAATCAAAGTATTCACTCAAAGACTAGGGGAGTTTTACCCCATGTAACTCAAATGACAGTCAAAGCATTCTGTCAATTACTATTTAACGCACACATCTTCAAGGGTGCTTCACTTAACAGCGTCAGATATAATCCAAACAACAGCAGCAATCTTCAGTTCAGAACAACCACATCAGTTTTAGCACAAGAACTTGGAATTGAGAAGCTCTGCACAGCCCATCAATAGTGCACATATATATATATAGAACATACACAGACATCATCCTTAACTGTATTTGTGGTGATGTAGTAAAGCCACATGTTGTGGGTTTTTCTTTTTTCCCTGCTAAGACTGTTAGGAAAGGTACTAATTAAATCTGTGTAAGCATCTTTCTAGATAGATGATTCAAGTTCAGAGATTGTACTATTAGACGTTATAAAAGTCTATACCCAGCTACTCTAACAATTCATTCCTTAGCAATACAGGCCTTACTTTAAAAAAGTTTGCATAAATGTGAGCTCTGTAATTCTCTTTAACCTCTCCAACCCTGATGATTTATGAACTCTACTTCAGCAAAGCTCTGCACCATTCACTTCTGACTGCACACGTGGGCTGTCAGCCTACACAAACCTCCCAAAGGCTGAGATGATTTGGCTGTTATTCAAGTGCACGTGGTGCTGAACCTGGAAGCTATAAACAGAAGGGAGGCAACAACTACCTGTGCATCCAAGAGGCCATTTGTTTCACTCAGGCTTAGCTCATTACCTTTTCTTTTTTTTTTCTTTTTAATTCATGAGGTTTAGAAATAAATCCCACAAAATTTCCATTTGCAAATCTGTGGAATTTGATTCACTTTTCTTTTCTTACCTCTCAACTCATCCTGTGTTATTTTGCATTTTTCTTGCTTTTGAATTCTCCCTAATCAAATTCTAATATAACACCTGTTGCAAGGAAACTTAAAATATTCTGCTACGTCTGCAGTCTTACACCTTTATCACTAAAGATAAAATAACCATCAGGAGGTTGAGAAAGATGGAAGTGGAACTTCAGTGTCGCATCCAAAAACCTTCAGCTTTGGACACCTTCAAATGTCTGCTACAACCTTTGTCTTTCAAACACTTCTGATCCAAAGAAGCCTCCAAACCCAAACATTTCACCAAATACCACCTTACACAAATTCAATTAACGTATAAAGCTAAAGTTTTACTATTTTGCCATGACAGCAAAAGCCTCATTTAACTTTTATTCATGATATACAAAACTTCTCTAGTTCTAACCACAGAATTTTAGTAGCAATGATGCAAGACTGAGAAATGTCTTCAGGTGCTAAATTGAGTTGGCATACTAAACCATCTTTCTCTCAACAACCATAGGCGTGGTTTCTTCTGTGCAAACACAGATCTAAATAAGTTAATTATTTTCACTGCTATAAAACAGAATCAAATTCAAGAAAATTTTCTTAGCCAAAACTAATGACAAAAGTCAATGTGCCATTTTGAAAAATATAATCCGATTAAGACTTACCTCCAAACCAATTAAATTATTAACACACTGTACACAGCATGCAATTTCAAAATAAACACAGCTTACTGTTGTCTGCAAATTCAGTGAAAGTAACACTGTAATGCAAAATAACACTCTCTTCATCTCATCTTAGAAATAGTTTAGTCAAACTTTCTTTGACTGTTATATCCTTCCAAACTGCACATGTGAAAACAAATTATTCCCCAAGTGAATGTTTTCCAATACTAGCAACTTGATACACAGCAGGTTAACAAACCATGCAATAATTAAAAAAAAAAACAGAAAGCAAACAAAACCACAAAAAAAATCCCACAAACAAGAACAACAAAAAAACCAAAAAACAAAAAAAACCACAAACAAAAATCAAAAACAAAAAAGCCAAACTCAACAAAAAAAACCAAGTTAACAGATGTTATCTACATTTTATGCTGGTTTCTGTATCAAAGTACCAAAATTGATAATGCACTAATCCTTTCTAAGCCTTCACTTCTCTAAACATACTGTGCACCAAGAATTAGATGCTTTAAAGTTAAATTTAAATTTGCTTTAAACTCATACCAACTGAACAGTTTTTCATAATCACTTCTCTTAGCATAAAGTCAAATGCTCTCTGTATCCCAAAACTAGTGTGGAAGTTGCACAGTATAACTTGTAATTACTTTTCTCCCAATGTAAGACTTCTGTGTTCAAAAAAAAACCACAACCATTTAAGACCATTATTATAAATGGTCTTCTTTTAAAGGCATTTCTATAATTTTATAGAAAATGAAAGGCAATGTCCCATTCTCCTAGGCTAGCTGACTTTCAATTTACCTTGTCACTTAAATTAATCAAAGTAATTTTCATACAGATCCAGTAGATTACTCCTCTCAGCTTCTTTCAGCTGGTCAGATCACAACAGCACAGAATGGTATTCTATAGTCATATTTTAAACCTGAGCTTCAGGCAATAGAAAATGGAGTACATTTTTGAAGACAGCAGAGATATCCAGTTATAATTCTGTTCTATTTGAAGGAGTATACATTTAATAACAGACTATTTTATTTTCTTCTTTAAACTTACTCAAGCATTCTTGATTTCTTTAATCCATGGGTGCAGCCTTAGTTTTCATACCTATTCATTACAGCAGCTTAATGAAAGAAAGGTGTACTTACATACAACAGAAGCTCAAAGGAAGGCACTACAGGTTTTAATCCAATCACAGTTCTGAAGGAGGAGTAGTATCTATTTCAATTTGAAGCAACAGCAGAAATACGTATCGCACAGTGCATTAAATACTAAATCATATTATTTCCTCCTTCAAAACAAAAGAACTACATATATCATTTCACTAACATAGTTATGAAATCTGCACAGCTACAATTAAATTCTTAGTCAAGGCAAATCACCAAGAGTCTGACTCAGAAAGAGTGTCTGCATGGCCTGTCCTTTTAACTCATCAAAAGAAATGCCACAGAGTGCTGTGCCACAAGCCAGAGTCACCTTTGTATGAGAGATCAAACATTTCTTGTCATCTGACTCTTGACAGCTTCAGAACGAGCAAGTATCAAAGCTTTTCTTTTTTCTTTTATTATTAATGCATCTCATCAAAATATTCTCATTCAAAGACACCGACCAAATACCAGTTCCTGATGAGTAAAAATGGAGAAAGGAACACAAGAGGTTGTCAAGAGCATCATTATTCAGTGGGTACTTGTGTAAAAATGCATTTCTCATTTCTTCTTCATCCTTGTGAGACAATAAAATACCTCTTCATACAGAGTACCTTAATAATTTTGCTAAAGTTCACATTTTAACTGCAGGGCAAAATTAAGTAGCAAAACACTTTGTGCAATTAAAGAAATACCTTGTAAATGACAAAGACTAGTAAGAAAACACAGAGACATTTCCTGGTTTGAACGGTAACGTACATCGTCTCCTCCGACACAGCTAAGGGTTTTTATCATGCTACACACACGTGCTTTGGAACTGTCACATCTCCACTCTTGGCCACAGTGGCACTTCACTGAGAAAACATCAACCCAACAATGGAGCCACTTGTGAGTAGTAAGGAGCTGGAATGAAGGAGCTCTGTTTCAACACAGTACAAAAGCCCAACACCTTTGGTGCTCCCACATTCTCACTCCTCTGATACAAAAGAAAATGAAGGTCCAGCTCTGGCTCCATCCAGGCACAGCCTGGCCCAGCTGTGCCTGCTGTGTTCAGCCACATCAGACCTACACTGACCCCAAGGAAGTCACTACACCGCTCCCCAGAGCTTGGAAAGTTAATTATGTTACACATGCTAGTGTGAATACATCTTCCCAGCTACTGTTAGAAATTTTATCCAAACTCCTAAGCCTCTCAGATCACAGAGAAGTGATGGTGGCTCTGTGGTCACCTGCAGCATCCCTGGTATGGCTACTCCCCGGGACCAACATCATTCTCATACTACCTGAGAGCTATTGTTTTGTTTCTGTTATCAGAAGTTTTCCAAATAATATTAGGCTGGTTGCCCTTTATCATTCTCATGATCATGATATTTAAGCATTTCAGTCAATAAGTTTTCACCCTTTCAACACCTTGTATGAGAGAGCCACTACTTCAGTTTTAGAGAAGGTGAAACAGCAAATGTTTTTGTGCTCAAACACATGAAGAATACAAATAAAAACAAAGAGGGGAAAATAATGGAATTGATAAATGCCAGTCATGAAATATTATTTCCTCTAGACAAGGGTCTTGCCACCACAATGTATCATTTGAGAGTTCAAATATATCAGAGCTAAACCATGACATATTATGGAACCTCAGAGATTGAAACATGGCATGTGTGCACTTACAATGAATTTTTTGTATTCTGAACAAATCTCATTGGTTTAATACAATGAGTATTTCTATAAACATGCAAATATTATTAATAATGCTCTTTATACTGTCCAGTATTAAGCAATAATAAAACTACTTCTATAAAGTGGATTTCCACAGTGTTGAGTTCTGAACTATTACTGATACTAAGCTTTTAATGCACTGTCATAACACGCAGAAAAAAACCCTTAGCTTTATGTATATAATGGTACCTTGTAGGAAGAACAACAGTCACATATACAAGCAAAAATTTCCAGAGAATAACAATGTGCCACCCGATAAAGAAGTAGTAAACAGAGTTTACAACCTACTTATATGTTATTTAATGTATAACCATGATCAGTTATCTGGCTGTTGCTCTACACTCCGATTTTACTTACTTTGATGTGTTTGTAGGCAAGGTACAAACACCATATGTTATCTGAGTTCTGTACGAAGGGCATACATGGCAATAACACTTAAGACAACTGAATCCTATCTAATTATATTCTTCCTCCGTTCTGAGGCACAAGTTATTCTCCAGATTAATAAATACAATTAGAAGTGTAGCAGGTTAAAGACAAAAAAAAAAAAAAAAAAAAAAAAAAAAAAAAAAAAAAAAAAAGACACAAGGCTCACATTCCTCATCTGTTTGTGAAGTTTACCCACTCAACTCCGGCCCTGCCGCAGCTGGGTTTGGGCTCTTCACTCCTATCTTAGCTTTTACATCCCACCAAAAACTCCAGCCTTCAGACCTAAAAGCGACAAGCCCCCAGCACAGGAGGCCATCTCCGCAGGCGTTCTCCTCGGGGTGACAGGTTTTCCCCCGCGCAAGGCCAACACCGCGGCTTCAGCCAGCAGGAAACGGAGAGCGCAGCCGCTCCCAGCCAGGGCCGCTGCCCGGGCGGGAATCTCCTCTCGGCCGAAGGCGCTCCCGCCGAGGAGCAGAACTGGCTGCCGGCCCCCCTCCTCTGGCGGGGCCGGGGCGAGGCGCCGCAGCCCCGCGGGGAGGCGAGGGAAGCGCCGAGGCCGCCGGGCAGCGCGGGGAAACGCGGCGGCGGGAAGGGACAGGCCCCGCGCCCGCGGGAAGGAGGGAGCGCGGGGCCGGCTGGGGCCGCGCCGGGGCCCGCGGCACCGCCGCCAATCCGCCTCCCGCCCCGTCCCGTCCCGTCCCGGCGCTCACCGCGTTCTTCTTCTGCACCATCTTGTCCATCTTCTTGGCGATGCGGATGATCTCGTCCTCCGTGGCCATGGCGGCGGCGGCCCGGGCGGCGCCAGGCAGCGCGGATCGAGCGCCGGCCGCGGGAGCCAGGCAGCGCTGCCGCTCGCCGAGAGCAGGGGCGGGGCTGCGGCCGCTCGCGCGCCGCGCTCCCCATAAAACAGCCCCAAACCCAGCAAAAGCACAGCGAGATGTCTGACCTCTGCCTACCTTCTCTGGGCACTGCGCCAAGCCTGACCGAGGTCAAGAGGCGTTTGGACAACGCTCTTCAGGCCTATGGTGTCATTCTTGGGGCGTCCTGTGCGGCGCCCGGAGTCGGACTCCATGAGCCTTAGCGGATCCTTCCCAAAGCAGGATAGTCTGTGATTCTGTCTGTGACCCTCTTACCCTCTCCATGCCCCAGCAATGCTGCTGACGCTGCCCCTGCTCGTACCCGCTAACACAGAGCGAACCATGCCGCCCGGAATCCCCTCCCTACAGCCGAGCTTTTCTTCGGCTGCCACGAGGCTCAGAATTACAGCAGACAATCGATTTGTATTAGTCAAAGGGATGGCGAAAAGCCCATGGCCCCTCTAACAGAAAAGGTTTTTAAACATTCATCTTTTTAAGAGGTTTAAGAGTTACTTTTATATAAAATGGAGGGTTTCAAATTGCAGCTTCAGAGTGAAGCTCGGAAGATACAAGTCCCGAGGCAGTACAACAGACCTGGAGACAAACTTTGGCATTGGCCAAGCATCACACTGTGAGGTGCCGCCGTGCTTCTGAGTCTTAAATCTAGTTTAAATCTCGTGTGTGTTCCAGTGGGACATATCACACTTATAAAGTCTGACATATAAATATTACACATCATTACTAATGGAATTCTGTTCATCAGCTGAGCTAGATGGCTTGTTATTGTGATTTTTGAGTGAGAACAGCATAATTAAACCATTTTTGCTGTAAAACAGGAGTGTTTACTTCACAAAAACAGTAGGCACATGTGAAGGTTACAGGAAGATTATCCCTTCTTAAGATCCAGGAGGGTGCTTACATAGCCACTCAAATCCATTACAAGTAAGCAGTCGAATGCTGTGGATGTCCCAGTTGTGAACTGAGGACTGTAAAATATGGACATTTTGGAGAACAGACAAGGCAGATCTTTTCCTCCAACAACACTCAAGGAAGCCATTACAGCAAGAACTGTCAACACACTTGTCTGTCATGCACTGGGCAGCAAGATTTTCTTGTGTTTTGAAGCCAGATAAAGGGGGTTTAGCCACTTCTACATCCTGCTCAATGGACACAATGGTCAGCTCTAAGGCCTGCACATATTAGAAGCAATTAAAATTATTTGGGATCTACAGGATCTTCCCCCAGGTTCAATCTGGGCCATGAATAGGACAAGCACACAGAAACTTGGCCTGCTGCTTTTTTGTTTATTCTGCCCAACAGGGAGTAAAAAACCCAAGAACAAAGAAAATATTTTTAAAGAAAAATAATACCTATTTAATAATACCTATTTTTTTTGGAAAATAAATTCATTCAGGAGCAGATTTTGGGGAGACAAAAATAAAACAATGCTGCTTCTCACATTTAAAGGATCATGCCAGCTCAGGTTTAATTCCATTTTGTCTAGATTTAGTTACCTAGTACCTGTAATAATCAAACACCATATTTAACCTGATGCTAACCTCAAATGAAGATTGGCATCATTGTTCCCCACAATCACATCAATGATAAAAACAACACACAGGGTGTTGGCAACTCAGAGGTATTGGTACGCTACAGGATCAACAAGCTTGTACCTGTTCTACAGTAGGTACAAGTTAGGTCAGGGACAACACAATCACAAAACTAGAAATCTCAAATCAATCACTTTGATTTGTTTAAATGCATTTAATCTCTGGAATAAAGTCACCCAGACTTTTCTAAAATTTCTTTTAAAAATACAATTCAACACCTACTTCACTGGAAATGCATGGAAGAGCTCAAAATGCAGATTAAATCTATTAACATGCAAAATGTACCAGGTGAGAAACTGACAATTATAAATTAAAACCCATGAGAGCACTTATAAAAGGCAAAGCACATCACACTTATCTAATCTTAAAAAAGTAGCATCAGAGAAATATTTCAGTAGGGAAATCGAAGAATAATCAGATGGCAATGCATATCCTTTTTATTTTTTCAAGTAGATGCATTAAAATAAAACATAATACAGCTCACATTGTTTATACTGTATGCTACAATAGCAGAATGGTATCAATTAACTGAATTGGTACTAACCAAATTCTTTATATCTTTATCTGCTCCACCAACCTTGAGACAGCAAATCTTTATCAAAAAAGGAACACACAGCCCTCCACATGCTTGTTCTCTTGTTTTAGCTGGTTCTAAACCAGGCAGGTTTGTACAGCACCAACCTCTTCTGTAAATGTCACTCCCAGTCCAAAGCAGGAGAGGGAAAAGCAACCTCATTGACTTTTTCCTTTCTGTTTAGCACCTTTCTCCTAAATTAAAACATTAGGAAGAAGAAATAACACACTGTTCACTGTTTGTTGCACTGCACTTACCTGTTATGGCACATCCTCACCATTCTTTTGCAACCTTTTTTCTAAAGGGTACTGCAAACCTGCTCATGCTGAAAGCCTATGTCCAACCCACATTTGCTGGACCATGGGGCCTTCTATAATACTAAGACTTAGCAGGCAGAGATGACTCTTCCTAAAAGAGTGCACATATGAAATAATGTAGATTTTTACTAACTAGTCTCATTTGATATGAGACAGCATCTTCAGAAATTTAGGGCAGGAGGGGCAACACACCAGCACATTCACAACTGCAGAATGTGAAGTAAAGCATCCCTGAACTGCTGTCAAGGCACTTAAAATCCTACTTTTTCAGGACTCATATTCTGTATGGAAAAATCTCCTCTAATCAGGTAGAAACACAACTGTGCAAAATACAACATTCACAGCATTGTAGAAGATTTTATGTAACCATGTTATGGCTATTAATCCTCTCCTCTTTATTTGAGCCCTGAGTGCAACATCTTAGATCTTCCAAAACAGAATCTCAGCTGGTCTGAATCAGCTAACCCTTACAGAGGGAGATGAGTCCAATTACAGACACATAAGGGGGGGGGGGCTATAGCAAAAGGAAGTTCCAATTTCTCAGAACCAAATTTTGTTCAAAAATTTCTGAAATAGCAATAAACATCTATTAGTTGTTCTATAGCTATACAACAGATGGGCTAGGGTTTTTATATTTATTTTTTCAAAATGTTTACATTTTCAAAATGTCTTCATTTTTTTCAACTTAGAAGCAGTAACTGCAGGCATTTAAATATTAAAAAAATTAAGCTAATGTTTTAGGATGTTTTACTTTTTTAGTTTCTAGAAGTCTTCTAGACTTCTCTATTCTGTGGCAACTTTATCTATTTTTTCCATATAGACTTCAAATATTTAAGCCTTTTAAAGATCCCCTCTGATAATTTCAAATACTGCAACACAGCTAGCAAATTATTTCAAGCGCACAAACTACTTTAAGAGTTTGCTTGTTATTCACAGCTGAGGAACATTCTGACTCCAACTGCTCCATCTGTTAATAGAGAAGTAACTCTTTAAAACAAACCTTAGATGAGGGAGGTCTATCTTCTGCTCACAAACTAAACCTCCCACTTAGATGCCTGAAGCAAGTTCACTATACCGCAGCAAACTGGCTGGAAGTTTTAAGTTTTACTAGTTTTGCAGATAAAAAAGGAGGCAATGTGTTGCTCTTTTCTAGTAATTGGTCCTAAAAGAAAAACATTATCTACTGGCTCACTTTGTGGATGTCCATTAAATTATACAAGTACTTTGTTTAAATCAACTTTAATCAGCTACATCAAAGCTACCTGTTCAACTCAAAGAGAATTAATAAAATCTATTATCCCAAAGGCAAATGTGGTAAGATGAGAGTGGCAAGCAATGAAAAGGAAGGAAAAAAAAAAGTGGGGGGGGAGCCAGGAAGGGGGAATCTGTTCTACAGCTATTAAATCTTCAAAGAATCCCATTTTCAATTTAACCAACAGACATTCTGAAAACTTCTTGAGTCATGTTCTTCACTTATACCACTGCTCTCATACTATATTTGATAAAGTTTAATACACTATATTGTCTTGTTTGGGGGGTTTTTACTATGCTAGTTTTAGGCAATTTTTCCCCTCACAATTACCTTATCAGGGATGCCAGGGCTGAAAGTAAATAGAAACTGAACATTACTCAAAATGTTTTTTTAAAAATATACTATATTAGCAGATAACTCTGTGTGATATTGCATTTTCACTGTTACTAGCTGTTCTTAGATCTTGATTTGCAACAACAAATTCACACAGCACTGCATCTACCATGCATTCTCATACATTCATGAAATTCCTCACTGTACTCCACACTGACTTTTGGGCATTGCAGTCTGTGGAGACAAGCAGCCTTTTAGCTGCTTTAAGCTGCTTGAAGGGGGAAATCTGCCTTTACCACACATACATCCCATTCCCTCTCTTCCCAGATAATCCCACATTTTCTCTAGAGTGCCCTGCACAATGTATAGCACTGAGTGCCCTCAAATATTAAACTAAATAGCACATGTAACCCCTGACCTGAAAATTGTTTCTTTAACAAATCTGTTAAGTGGTGCATATGCCAAACCTTAATCAACTTCAAAGCCTTTCCAACAACACAAAATACCTAGAGAAAGACGCAAAAATGCAGAGTGAGAAGACTTTGGCTCTTCAGTGTCCTAGAATAACTCTACTAGAAAAATACCTTAATTTCTTTTATCTTTAAAAATTATTGCAAATTCCAAGAAAACAAGTTAAAATTAAATCAACCCAGAATATGAAAACTACCCTCCAGTCATATTTAGCATTCTTTCAACAAAGTAGCAAAACCTAACTTCTTAACTGATTTTCAGTAACTACAAAACTTTGTTTTTCTGTATTACAGTAGGCATACATTACCATGCAATACATTTTCAAGGAGGCTCTAGAGTGCCTGTTTCACAGCATGAGTAAAAGCTCAACTTCCTTCAGGTAAGTATGGAAAAAATCTTAAGTACTTGCC